CCCAGCAGCTCTGTGGGGCTGCAGCACTGGGAATGTGCAGCTGGAAGATTTAGGATCTCCAGTTTCCATTTGGGATTTCTCTGCTCAATGCCCTGAGCAATTCCCAGCAGCTCTGTGGGGGCTGCAGCACTGGGAATGTGCAATTGGAATATTTAGGATTTCCAGTTTCCATTTGGGATTTCTCTGCTGGTGACTTTGTCACTGACCCTTCAGGACCATGCAGCTCAAACTCCACCTTACAGAATTAACTCCAGATTTTTACTGGGGGTCCTTTGAACATGAATTTTTGCCTTCTGCTTCTTTTATCCTTTTCCTCTGAATCATCCACATTTCTTTTTTTTTCCCCCTCTTTTCCCTTCCCCAGGGTACAATGCTCCAGGCCATTGAGAGGTACATGAAACAGGCCATTGTGGACAAAGTCCCCAGCGTGTCCAGCTCTGCTCTGGTGTCTTCCTTGGTAAGTAAAGCAGATTTTTGTAAATCTGATGTTTTGTCAGGCTGGCAAGGTGAGTCTGCTCTGTTTGTTTTTTTTTTTTTTTTTTTCTCAGAGGTGTTTCTTCATCTCACTGGAAAATAAGAAAAAAAGCAGAGTTTCCTTTCTCTCCTCAAATTCCTTTCTTAACTTTTGAGTACATCAATCATCATAATTTCTAGTGCAAAATGCTCAGATTTCTGCAGTGTAAAACATGAATTTATCTGGGGAGAGGCCATGAAATCACCTACTGAGACTGCAATTCAGGATTATTTCTGCTAATAGACACCAAGAGGGCAAGATGAAAGAATCAACTCTGATTTCCTCTCCCTTTTTTTTTAGGAGAAAAAGCTGGGAAAATCTCATTAGTTAATCTTTTTATTAATAGAAGTGGAATAATTTGAGACTGAGATGGAAGGGAATTCACAGTTTATAGGGGTGTAGGATAAAGAGTTTGTCTCCAATCTGAATTTTTTTGCAGCACATGATGAAGATCAGCTATGATGTGGTCAAAAGGTGGATTAATGAAGCTCAGGAAGCAGCTTCCAGTGACAACATCATGGTCCAGGTGTGTTTGAGAGTCCCCAAAAATGCTGGGGGTGGGTTTAGTGGCATTCTGGGAGTTCTTAAGAAAACTTCAGGGAAAAAAAAAAAAATCTTATTTTTCTTCAGTGTATTAAAAGTAAGAATTGTGATTTGTGAGAAACAACTTGACAGTTTCAAAAAATTAATGAATTTTTTTTCCATGATGCCAGCACAAGATTGTTAATTAATAATTTGCTCTGGAGTTTTCTTCCCTTTTTCCTGCTGAATTTCTGGAATGCTGCTGCCTGTCCCACAGTGGTTCTTGCAGAAGGGATTTGAATCAGTGCTCAAAAAAAACTTGGGAAATTCTCTCCCTGCTTCCCAATGAGCATCACTTGGCTTTCAGAAAATTTGCCAGATTCAAAAGATGAACCCAAATATCAAGAAGAGCTCCATAAGAGCAAAAGTTTTGCACAGATATTCCAGACCTCTGTGGAAATGAAATTATTTTATCTGTTCAGAATATGGAATTATTCTGTCTGTTGCAAACTCCTGATCAGAAAGATTCTGTAAATTCAGCTTTGCTCTTGTCCACTTAACAGCTTCATGAAGCCTTGCAGAAAATCAAATTTATGGGGGAAAAAAACCCAAAATAACTTGGCAAGGAACTAGAAATATTCCACCAAAAAGGCCTCAAGGATTTTTGTGAGGTCAGCTATCATTTCAGGGCTGTGCAAAGCTGAAATCTTTGAAGTTCTGGTATTTAATGAGGAAAAAAAAAAAAGAGAATAAATTAACTTTGTGGCTCTTTGGATCTTCAGGAAGAGTTTGAGAACGGACAGAAAGGGAATGTTGGCAGGAAACTCAGCTCAGCTGAGGTTAGAAGATATTTCTACCAGGAAAACATCAACAATTACCCCTCTTTTGATATTGAAATATGAATTTTGCAGCTGTACTCAGTGCCTGCCCCTCTGTTTCCCATCCCATAGTATCATGCTTTGGGGCTACTCTATCACCTTAGGAAAAACGATCGTCTGGCTGTCTCCAAGATGTTGAATAAATTCACCAAATCCGGCCTGAAATCTCAATTTGCCTACTGCATGTTGATCAGGATTGCCAGCAAACTCCTCAAGGAATCTGAAGAGGGGTAAGGGGAAAGGTTTTAAATCACAATTCGTTCAGTTTTGGGAATGGCAGCATTTGTGGGGAAATCTCCACAGAGACACAATTGGATGCTGGGATAATGCATGGATTCCATCTTAAAGCCTAAATTCTTGTGTTTGTAGCCATGGAAATCTTGGATTTTGAACTTAAAGGATTTTTCCAGCCTAAAATCCTGGAATTCTGTGTGTAGCCATGAAATATTGGACTTCATCTCCAGGGGTTTTTTTTTCTGACTAAAATCTGTATTTGTAGCCATGAAAGTCTTGGACTCGATCTTAAGGGGTTTTTCCAGCCTGAAAAATCCTGGGATTGTTGGGTTTGTAGCCATGAAATCTTGGATTTGAACTTAAGGGGTTTTTCCAGCTTGAAAAATCCTGGGATTTTTGTGTTTTTTAGCCATGAAAGTCTTGGCTTTGATCTAAAGGGGTTTTTCCAGCCTGAAATCCTGGGATTTTTGTGTTTTTTAGCCATGAAAGTCTTGGATTTGATCTTAAGGGGTTTTTCCAGCTTGAAAAATCCTGGGATTTTTGTGTTTTTAGCCATGAAAGTCTTGGATTTGAACTTAAGGGATTTTTCCAGCCTAAAAGATCCTGGGATTGTTGGGTTTTTTTTAGCCATGAAAATCTTGAATTTGATCTCCAGGGGTTTTTCCAGCCCAAAATCCTGGGATTGTTGTGTTTTGTAGCCTTTGACAGTCTTGGATTTGATCTTAAGGGGTTTTTCCAGCCTAAAAGATCCTGGGATTATTGGATTTGCAGGCATGAAAGTCTTAGTCTCGATCTTAAAGGGTTTTTTCCCAGGCTTAAATCCTGGGATTGTTCTCTTTGTAGTTTTGACAGTCTTGGATTTGATCTAAAGGGGTTTTTCCAGCCTGAAATCCTGGGCTTTTTTTGTGTTTTTAGCCATGAAGGTCTTGGATTTGATCTAAAAGGGTTTTTCCAGCCTGAAATCCTGAGATTTTTGTGGTTTTTTTTAGCCATGAAAGCCCCCTGTTTGACTTCATTGAGAGCTGCCTGAGGAACAAGCACGAGATGGTGATTTATGAGGCTGCCTCTGCCATCATCCACCTGCCCAACTGCACTGCCAGGGAGCTGGCACCTGCTGTGTCAGGTTGGTCACAGCCCTTTGTACCCCTTGAACAGCTGAAATTAAGAAATGTTGAGAAAATCCCGCAGAATTACAATCCTCAAACCCTGAATTTTCTGATTAAAAACCCAAGTTTAAGGGCTTTTGGATGAGATCCCTTTTCTCTTTTTCATCCAGATGTTTAGATAAATGGCAGCAAAAGTGGCATGGGGTGATGCTTTTCTTTATCCAGCTGCAGAAATTTGGGATGAGAGGGAATCCTGGAATGGTTTGGGTTGGAAGGGACCTTAAAGATCATCCAGTTCCATGGGCAGGGACATCTCCCACTATCCCAGGGTGCTCCAAGCCTTATCCAACCTGGCCTTGGACATTCCCAGGGATGAAAAAAAACCACAAAAAACCTGAGAAAACTCTCCTGCAGCTGGAATATAGAACTGGGAAGTAAAGACAATTGTGCCACCCTCTGTTCTTGGTAATGGGATAAAAACCAATTTATTTCTAACCTGTGTGAAACTCTTGATAAATTCTGCATAGAGCTGCATGAATATTCAGCAGCGTGTAGTTGAATGGAGATTGATTAGACTTTATTCCCTTTCTTTGAAAGAGACCATATCTTTATTTTTTTTTTGGTTGATTTTATATAGTTGTTGTTGTTGTTGTTCCCCAGTGTTGCAGCTTTTCTGCAGTTCTCCCAAACCCGTCCTGCGTTACGCGGCCGTCCGGACCCTCAATAAAGTGAGTGCTTCAAAACCTCCCCCCCCCCCAAAAAAAAGCTTCATTTCCTGAGATCAGAGCCAGCCAACTGTGCCTGATGATACATCTGCCCCTGTGATGGCTTTATTTGGAATTATTTCATGCTGGAGAATTGGATTTTCCCTGGTGGGACAGAAATCTCTTCTGCATTCAGGCTGTGTTTGTTCATTTCTGGACCCACGGGGATGTGACAAGCTGTGGTTTGATAATCTGTGAGCTTTCAGCTGGAAGCCTGGATATTTAATATTACAAAATCCACATGAAAGAAATGTTCTGATTTCAGAACTGCACAACACAACAGCAAAAATGCATGACTGTCAAACCCACGACTTAAACTTAAAATTCATTTAAAACCCTGCAACCAAAACCATTGAGCTCTGATTACATCCCATCCTTTCAACTGCAGGATGCTCCTACATAATTTTGGGAATTCCATTCTTTACAGGTAGCCATGAAACATCCATCTGCAGTCACTGCCTGTAACCTGGACCTAGAAAACCTCATCACAGACTCCAACAGGAGCATTGCCACCCTGGCCATCACCACGCTGCTGAAGACAGGCAGTGAGAGCAGCGTGGACAGGCTCATGAAACAAATCTCCTCCTTCGTGTCAGAGATCTCAGATGAGTTTAAGGTGTGCCATTGGAGGCCTCTGCTCTTTTCAGCTGCAGGTTTTTCTCCCATTCTTGGTTGTTTTGTTGTTTTTTTTTTTTTTTTTTTTAATGAAGCTTTTCCTGTTTGTCAGTGCTGGCAGGGTAAAGTTCAGAAGGTGTTTTCCAGCTTCAACATCCTGTGTGTCTTCCTTCCACCACTCCAAGAAAGGGGAAGAATATCATTTGGTGGATTGCTGGCTCCTCTGCAATATCCTGTATTTTCTTCTGCTTGTTTTAGAGAGGAAGAAGGATTTTAAGTGTTCTTTTTGAGTCTTGATGCATAGCTAGGAAACTTAATTAGAAATTTCTACCTAATTTGTTAAGTTTTATGGTAATTAATTGGTTCAGGATGGCTCAGTTGTACCTGTTAAGACCATGAGGAGCACAGCTCTGCAAAATCAATCTGCTTACAGTGGCCTGAAGTCCTTGTTTTTAGGAGAAAAACAAGCATTATAGACAAATTTAAAATTGCAAAGAATTTTTTCAAGCCAGAACATACAGACAAGTTAAAATTGGATCATGATCATACCTGGGAAGAAGGAAGGAAGAAGGAAAGGTTAACACATTCCATCCTAAAATCCAACCATTTTAGCAGAGCCAGGCCTTGTTGTTCCACACTGAGTATCCACCACCTGATTTTAACCAATTTAACCAATCTGAGATAGAAAACTCTTATTTTTCCTAAAGAAAGAAACTCATGATCCCATCCTTGTGTGTCTGCTGCAGGTTGTGGTGGTGCAGGCCATCAGTGCCCTGTGCCAGAAGTACCCTCGGAAGCACAGTGTGATGATGACCTTCCTCTCCAACATGCTCAGGGATGATGTGAGTGTCACATTCCCTCTGGGGAGGGGTTTTTTTTTTTTTGGGGCAGATTTGGAGCTGCTTGGTGATGGGAAAGGTCTTTTCTGTCACACCTGCTGGGTCAGAGCTGTGTGAAATGTTCAGGAATTAGTGATGCCTTGAGAGGCTACCTGAGACAGAGACTAGACAAAATTAAGATAATAAAGTGAATATTTATTAAAAGGCCTTTAATGGCTGCATCTGATGCCTTGAGAGGCTGCCTGAAACAAGGACTAGACAAAATTAAGATAATAAAGTGGATATTTATTAAAAGCTCTTCAAAGGACTCACTTTGGGCAGTGCAAGAACCCAGCCATGGTTACACCCAAGATGGATCCCAGCCATGAGTTTTCACACTTTTATAAATTTTGGTTCATTTCCATATTGGGGTTCATTGTCCAATTCCAGCTCCAGGTTCTGCAGTCCCATCCTCCCACATTGCTCTCCTCAGTTCACTGTTGTTGGCATTTTTTATATAAATTTTTATACCCAAAGCTGCAGGGGTTGTCCTTGGTTCTGGGGCTGGAAAAGAATTGTTTTGTGTGACTGAGCTGTGAGGAGAACCTGCTCATATTTTATATGAAATTCAGATTTATGTACTAATGCAGTGCAGGATGTGGGAAATATAAAAGCTCAAACAAGACATCACACCAGAAGCCTTCCAGAGGCTTCAATCAAGCCAACAATCACAAATTTTTTCAGACAATTCTAAGTTTGGTCCATTTACATATCAGGGGTTAATTCTCCAATTACAGCTTCAGGTAATGAAGTCTTATACCCCCAGTTTGCTGTCTCCCAATCACTTTTGTTTATAATTTTGTTTATAATTTTTGTTTATGCTGGGGTGTCATTGAATTTCAGGCCTAGAGGGATTGTTTTGTGTGACCAAAATGTGAAGACATGTGACTAACACTCCTTATGGAGTTAAGAGATTTGAAAAATAGAAAAGCTAAAATCCTGAGGCATCATTGGATGCTCAGAGGGCTGGGAATGCCCCATCCTTTTTTTTTTTTTTTTTTTTTTTACCCTCATGATTATTTTCTCCATGAGCAACATGAGGAAAACTGAACATTGCTCCAGAATATCACTATCCCAAATTTCCATTTACCAGGGTGGCTTTGAATACAAGCGAGCCATTGTGGATTGCATCATCAGCATCATCGAGGAGAACCCTGAGAGCAAAGAATCAGGTTTAGCTCACCTGTGTGAGTTCATTGAGGACTGTGAACACACCGTGCTGGCCACCAAAATCCTGCACCTGCTGGGCAAGGAGGGTCCCAGGACCCCCAACCCCTCCAAGTACATCCGCTTCATCTTCAACAGGGTGGTGCTGGAGAACGAGGCTGTGAGGGCTGGTGAGTGCAGCTCCAGGCCTGCAGTTCTGCCTCCTTGCTTGCCTTTTTTTTTGTTTGTTTTTGTTTTTTTTTTTTTTTTTCTCAAAATGAGAATAAATTGCAATGGAATGGATTAAAATTCGAGAGGATTTTTAGGGAAGGAGGGAATGTAAGAGAGGGTTTTTATTTGGCTTTCAGGGGGAGTTTTGTAGTAGCTTACTGCTTACCCAGGGGTGAGTATATTTGTATGGGTTTTAAGAAATGAGTAGAATTGATAAAAAGCAACCAAATAAGAGGATTTCTTGGTTTGGAAGACAAGTGTCTGCTAAGGAAGGCAGGAACCTCTTTTGAAATGGAAAATGTGAACCCCCCTCCCTCCAAATTATTATAATTTTGAAATTAAGGAGCTCTCAGGCAAAGATATGAGAATAGGAGTAACAGTTCTCTTATTTATTTTTTTCTTATTTCAAAGAAAAAGAGGCAAAACCGAAATGGCATCAGGCTGAGCTCTGCTGGAATTGGGTGAAGCTGGGTTTGGAGTGTGGGGAGTGATGGTTCTGCCCCAGTCCCTGTGCTGAGCTGTGGATTTGGTTTTATCCTGAGGTTTTTTTTTAATCCTCAGATCATCTTGACCTCCTGCTTCAGAGCAGAAATAATCTATTGGTTCTGAATGCCTGCTGGAATTCAAGGTGTACACGAGGAGGGGACACTGCTACTTCCCTGTTTAATGTCATTAATGTCATAAGTTTGTACTTCCTGAAACTGCTTCCTCTTCTTTCTGGGTGGGGATTGTTTCAGCTGGTGCCAAGCTGAAATCTTGATTATTTTGGAGAGGCAGCTCCAAGTGGTTGCTGAGGGGTTTGAGCTCCCTGCAGAACCTCTGGTTGTAACCTGGCCCTGGTCACCACTGGGTGCTTGTGTGGAAAACAGATTTATCTGGAGTGGGAACTGCTGCAAATTGCAGAAGAGCCAACAGCTGGAATATTCCACAGAGTTTCAACAAATATCTGATGGAGAACTCCCTCAAAAGAGATTTTCAGAGCCTTGATCACAAAACTATTTCCGTGTGGAAATACAGGAATAGTTTAGTCTCTCCATATCACTGGAGGGTTTATGGAAGTGAGAAATGTGTGAAGTGAGAATTCAGGGCTGTGAGAATATTTTTGTGCAGAACTCGGAGTCCTGTGACACCTCCCTGTTCTCTCTGCAGCTGCTGTCAGTGCTTTGGCCAAGTTTGGGGCACAGAATGAGAATTTGCTTCCCAGCATCCTGGTGCTGCTCCAGAGGTGAGTGGCAGTGGTGGTGACACGGGAAATGTGATGCCCCGGGAGCAGCAGGGTCACACCAGGCTGGCACTCGCACTGAGGTTCCCAATCCCAGTTTGGGGCAGTGGGAAAATGCTTCTCCCAGCTTTGCTGCGTGGCTGGAGGGAGCAGAGCACTGCTGGGGGAAGGAAGGATCACAAGGAAGTGAGGGGTGGGATGAGTGATGGAAATTTGTGATGGTGATTTGGGCTGAGAACATTGCTCAGGGGGTAATAAATAAATCACTGAGGCAGTGACTGCTTTGGGCTGGAAGGACCTTAAAACTCATCCAGTGCCACCCCTGCCATGGCAGGGGATCCTTCCACTGTGCCAGGGTGCTCCAGGCCCCATCCAACTTGGCCTTGGATCTTCCAGCCACAACTGCCAAGGCCTCCCCATCCTCACAGACAGGAATTTCTCCCTCACAATCCAACCTAAATCTCTTTTAGTTTCAAATTGTTCCCCCTTGTCCTATCAGTATCTGCCTATATAAAAACTCACCCTCCCCCTCCAGAGCTTTTCTTTTCTTTAGCACCCATTGAAACAAGAAAATTCCTGTCCAAGTTACTCATAAATAACTTTTGTGTTGCCAGAGTTGGGTGTTCCCATGTCACAGGTTCACGTTTCCTGTTAAGACATGAGCTGTTAATGATTTAATTGAAATTAAACCAACTCCCCTGTTACACCAACACATCTTTGCACAATTTTCAAACCTCTGACTGTCACTGAGGTATCAAAGGCAGTTTTGTCAGTGCCATTTTGTGATGCCCAGAGCTGGCTGACCTGGTCCTTTTGTCCCCAAACCAGGTGCATGATGGACAGCGACGACGAAGTCCGTGACAGGGCAACGTTCTACCTGAATGTCCTGCAGCAGAGACAGCTGGCCCTGAATGCTGCCTACATCTTTAATGGTCAGTGAGACACAGGAAACCACCCAGAGCTCTGAATTCCCAAGGTTTTTCTGGCCTTAGCACTTCCCTGCCAAGTGCTTGTGCTGAGAGTGGCAGATTCAGCAATCTGAATCTGGCCTTGGACACTCCCAGGGGTCCAGGGACAGCCACAGCTGCTCTGGGAGCTCTGGGCATTCTAAAGGTGGGAGTTCTGGTCAGTCCAAATCTGGGAAATGGAGCCAGGAGTATGAGCTGGGCTTTTCTCATTGGTTCCTCCTTCACTCGACACAAATTTCTCGATTTTTTTTGCTCCATCTTTTTCAATCTGAAACGAAAATGAGGGTTAGTTATAAAAACATTTTTATGTCTGTGATTGAAACTGCAGGTGAGCAGAGGATTTCATTAATCCATGTAAGATTCTTGGGAGTGAACTGTTTAGACTTGGCAACTTTGTGTCATCTTCAGAGCAGCTTTTTTGCTACTTTGCCTGTTTTGTGTTTCCTGTGTATCAGCAGTGCCTCCAGCTCTTAAAACTGAATTTTTCTGCTTTTCTCCTCTGCAGGGCTGACAGTCTCTGTTCCTGGGATGGAGAAAGCCCTGCACCAGTATACACTGGAGCCCTCAGAGAAACCTTTTGACATGAAAACAGTTCCCCTGGCTACTGCCCCAGTCTTTGAACAGAAAGCAGGTAACACCCAAGTTCATGGAAATGGGCAGGAGGAAAGGCTCAGAGCCTTGGGGCTGCTGTTGTTCTGCTGATCTCATGAGCAGGGACAAGTCTGTGCATAATCAGAATTTATTGGTTCACAACCTTTGGGGAAAGGCCATTCCAGGAGCTCTCAGTCACTTCTCTGATTTTCTTCCATGTCCTTGCAGAATTTTTGAGCATCTTCACTTAGCACAACCATCTTTGGGTTGTTGGGTTTTTTTTTCCCTCCCTTCTCCTTTCATTTTTTTTTTTTTGCTGACTCTTCAGGACTAAGGTGTTATTTCCTCTACTTTAAATCCAGTATTTCCACACCAAAAAAAAAAAAAAGCTATTTCAGTGTGTGAGGAGCCAGGCTGGCAGTGGTTTGCAGCAGAATGTGTGAAACACACAGGGAACACAACATAGGAAATATTTAGTGCAGATTTAATGGCATTTAAACCTCCTGCAGGGTTTAGTTGAGACAGAGCACAAAGTCTTTGCTTTTTTTTTTTCCTCCACAGAGATTGCTCTGGTGCCCAGCAAACCTGAGAAAGTGGCTCCTTCACGCCAGGATATATTTCAAGGTAGGAGAGATCAGTGGCTGTCCAGAACTCCAGGAGAGCTGGAGAGGGACTGGGGACAAAGGACAGAGGGACAGGACACAGGGAATGACTTCAGATTGGGAAAGGGGAGATTTAGGAAGGAATTCCTGGCTGAGCTGGAATTCCCAGAGCAGCTGTGGCTGCCCCTGAAGCCCTGGAATGTCCAAGGCCAAGCTTGGAGCACATTGGGACAGTGGAAATCATCCAGGGGGTGGAACTGAATTCTCCTTAACGTCCCTCCCAAGCCATCCTGGGATTCTGTGCAGTGCTGGGACGATGGCAGGATCAGAGCCTCTCCATGTTGATCTTCTTTTCCTTCCTGCACAGAACAACTGGCAGCCATCCCAGAATTTAAGGGCCTGGGTCCTTTGTTCAAGTCCTCAGAGCCAGTGCAGCTCACAGAAGCAGAAACAGAATATTTTGTTCGCTGCATCAAACACATCTTCCCAAACCACATCGTTTTCCAGGTGAGGGAACCCACACCCCCTTTTTGGGCCCAGCAGGATTTGACAGAGTTGATCAAAACCCAAGAAATTTGCTGCATGCCATGGAGGATTTTAGCTGATTTGAAGGGGGAAAAAAAAAAAAAAAAACAAAAAACCCACTGGATGAGGAAATGTTTCCAAGTGCTTTTTTCCCCTGTTTGCTGCTGCAGTTTGATTGCACAAACACTTTGAATGATCAGCTCCTGGAGAGAGTCACAGTGCAGATGGAGCCATCAGATGCTTATGATGTGATCTGCTGCATCCCAGCTGCCAGCCTGGCCTACAACCAGCCTGGCATGTGCTACACCCTGGTCAGGATCCCCCAGGATGACCCCACTGCAGGTGAGAAACCCCACAAATCCCACAAAGGAAGAGCTGGGCCTGTGGGCTTTGTTTCATCCACAGATCCTTGGTTGGTTGTTTTCTGTGTGTCACAAATGCTGGGGTTTAGCAAAGGGATTTTTGTGAATGGTCAGTGGGGTTGGGTGAATAAAAATGGGATGTAAAGGAGGGGTGCAGAGCATGCAGGTAATGGAAATTTGGATTTAGTGCCTGGAATCAATGAAAGAAACACATTTAAAACCATGGATGTTGAGCAGTGTTCAAGAACAGAACCAGTAAAAGGAAAATGCAGATAAAATTCAAATATTCAAATTTGAGGTTTTATTTAATGGAATAATTAAATTTCTCCTCTCTTTAGAGAATCAGAAACTACTACAAAATACAGGAATGAGATTTTCTTGGACATGAAACTTCCCTTTCTTATCTTAGTGTGGGTGTGCCTTACCAGTGGAGTGGATTTTTGAGTTATTTTAATACCAGGGAAGATGAGAACTAATTTGAATTTGCTGAGCTGCAGGTTTCTATCACATACCATTTATCAGAAATCTTTGTGGAATTTTTCCTGGTTGCTCCTGCTGGATTTCATGGCAGCCTTTTGAATCAGTGATTTGTTATTGAGCTCCTCCTTTGGTCTTTATTTTAGAATCAAAGGAAAAAATGATATTAAAGTGCTCTGTCCCAACCACATCTGTATTCCTGGGGCAAAACTCATGGGTATTCCAGTCTCTTTTTTTGGGAAGAGAGGGCTCCAGCAGAGGAATCTTCCCAATTATCCAGGATTTCTCTCTTTTCTCAGTCACCTGTACCTTCAGCTGCACCATGAAGTTCACAGTGAGGGACTGTGACCCCAACACGGGGGTTCCAGATGAGGATGGGTATGAGGATGAATATGTGGTGAGTCCAGGATTTCTTCTCTATTCCCTTATCACTAATTTGGGATAAATGTGACCATTGGGTCAAGTTTCCTCTCAATCCTGCAATTAATCAATCTTACTGAAACAACAAAATACTGTAAAATATCATTTTTAGATCTTTTCCCAAAATTTCATTTCTGTCAAAAGTTTTAGTGCCCTGTGGAACAGAATTTGTGGGGACAGAGAGGAGGGAAGGAAGAAATAATTTCCATTGTCTGTTTTCACAATTGGGCTCCAATGTTTGCACCCCAAACATTTGAATTTTTGTTAATTGTGTGGTTAATGATGGGGACACGGTCAGATTTCAGGAAGCATTG